AATTTTAAAATATCTTTGGGATTTTAATAATCATATTAACCACGTGCATTGGCGCTACTTCGTTTATCCGCTGGGTACCTTTATTTCCTTGGCCTTCTTGCCTCATCGCGATTTTCGATCATGTCTTCACGTGTAATTAGTAATTCTATGGAAGAAAAAACTAGAGCTATAACGGTATTTTTATTTATCTACGACGTCATTTCACTATTTAGAAACTACTTCCTGCAGTAACTCTGCCAATCAGGCTTTCCCACGAACTGCCTGTGTGCAAGACTCCTGCGTTTGTATACTACAATGATTTTCCTCAGTACAAGGCCATAATGAGGGGTCATTCGGATAAACTCATTTCTATGTATGTACCTTTATTACTTCATAAACGATGAATATTTTACTTTACTTTTACAGAATACAATCACTGATAGATTCTCTTGATGCGAAGGGAAATTTGCTTGACATCCCTGAAGAAAAAAGCATTTCTGAAAAGTTTTCGGCCCTTGTTGATGTAAACGATACCTTGCTTGAACGAATTGTACGTTATTATATCTTAACTTGACTCTCAGTCCACTAAACTGGATGATTTTACATATCCAAAAAAAAAGTCCTCCTTGAGTGAAATAGGTAGCGATTTAGTAGTCGCCACAAATGATGGTTCTTCCCGGTCACTTGCTTGGCTTAAACCTAACTCACAGGTTTGTCGCTTCTTAAGATCTTTCTTGTATGTATTCATCCTTACTTTATTATTTACAAATTGTATTTCCTCAGACCTTGGATTTCTTTATTTTCCTTTCCTTAGCCATCTACACAGGGTTCCTTTATTGCTAATATTTCTCGCAAGGATAAAAGCAGCCCTGGTTCCGTACTTAAGCTTTTAGCTTCAAAGATAACTTCTCGTCCGCAGACCCTATTTTCGACTCCTCCGGATAATTCGCATGAACCTTTTCGTCCCCTTCTCAAGGAAAAGCCAAATTCATTGCTAGAAAATGACGGTATGTCTTTTCTGTACTATTTGCTTTTTAATTTTACCAACATTTTTCACAAATTTTCTTTCTTTTTGCTTAAGATTGGAGAACAAACATCATGCAATCGGTTGGCATTGAGTGCGTAATTTTACCTATTCTCTTTATATCTTGTTACAGCTACTATCAAAACTCATTATTCTCATAATTCCTATTATATTATTATAGTCAAGTAATCAGCGTATTTCGCATCATTGTTTCTCTTATTGCTTACTGGTTAATTGTATTTGCGTTTCAGCTACCCTCATCCTTACAATGATGAGTTGACAGAATTCGAACATGTAATACAATTGAAGTTTAAAAGTTATGAAGCAAAATCCCTTTTGCCTCCAAGACTTGAAGATACGACATTCAAATTTGTGGATGAACCCAATGATTTAACTGAACTTGTTTCACAACTTAGCTTGCAGCCCGAAATAGCTGTCGACTTAGAGGTATTTGAACATTCACTGTTTTATTCACCACGACTAATCATATCTTTGCTTAATATTTGTCTTATTCTATCTTTATAAAGCATCACAATTATCGGACATACTTTGGCATGACTTGTCTTATACAAATTTCAACTAGATCAGCGGATTATATACTTGATTCATTGGCTCTTCGCGATCATCTCCACATTCTGAACAAGCCTTTTACCAACCCGAACATTGTAAAAGTGAGCTTTTTTCTTGTATAGCTTCAATTTATTAGGTTAGTTATCACGATTTAAGCTAATGTTTTTTTAGGTTGCCATCGAGGATACCTTTGTGAATTACATTTTTTACTTAACTATAAACTATCTAAATTCGATCATCGTTTCAGGGCACTAATTTTGACTGAACCGCTCAGAATACTTAATATAATATAGTAATTTTTTATACATGTTCGTCAGACCTATGCGAGATACAATTTTAATTTTCTTACATTATAAAAGTCTTGTCTACGAAAGGTATCAGAAAGCAGCTGCGTTGCCTTACTTATTATATATTTCGCTATTCCTTTATTTACTTTCGCTTAAATAATACATACAAATTTGGTCACAATACTTACTTTATATTAAGGTAGCTGGTCTACGCTAGATATCTGTAT